CACACTTCCTTCTTAGTGCACAGAGCTCCAAGGGCAAGCGTTGGAGTTCGGTTCACGACCAAGGCGAATGCTGCATGGCCTTTTACGACCTAACCTCTCAAGTCACTTAGCATCACTCATGCTATGCTCTCTTGGTTAAAGAAGTCACAAGCTCACCCAGATTTAAGGGCAGGGGACAGAGAAGCCACCTCTCAACGGGAGGAGTGCTCAAGAATTTGCCTCCTTAAATTTTCCACAATAAATGTAAGGTATTTAACACAATGAGTGCCATGGGGTATGAGCCAGAAAATGTTAGCTGCTGCTGTCCATATTGTTATTAGATTTTTTATGATTTTTTAAATGTTTATTTATTTTTGAGAAAGAGAGAGAGAGAGAGAGAGACAGTACGAGCAGGGAAGGGGTTGAGAGAGAGGGAGACACAGAATCCGAAGCAGGCTCCAGGCTCTGAGCTGTCAACACAGGGCCCGACCTGGGGCTTGCACCCATGAATAGTGAGATCATGACCTGAGCTGAAGTCAGACACTTAACCGACTGAGCCACCCGGGTGCCCCTATGATGTGTGTTATTTTTTTGTTTTAAAGGTTGTTTATTTATTTATTGTTTGAGAGAGACAGAGACAGTGCAAGTGGGGGAGGAACAGAGAGAGAGGGAGAGAGAGAGAAGCCCAAGCAGGTTCCGCACAGTCTCTTGAGGGGCTCCAACCCAGGAAGCCCTGAGATCATGACCTGAGCTGAAACCAAGAGTCGGACACTTAACAGACCGAGCCACCCAGGCGCCTCTTGTAGTTTTCGTGTGTTTGCTTTAATTTTATTTTAGGTGGAGTGAGAGAGAGCATGCAGTGGGGAGGGGCAGAGGAAGAGAGAGAATCTTTAGCAGACCCCACACCCAGCTCAGAGCTGGAGGCGGAGCTCGATCCCCTGACCCGGGGATCGTGACCTGAGCTGAAATCAAGAGTCGGATGCTCAGCCAACTGAGCCACCCAGGCGCCCTCACGTTGTTAGTAGCTTTGTATCTCAGGTTAGCACACTGGGACCTGACCGCGGTGGATCTAACCCAGTGACCCGGACAAGCCCCCACCCTCTGTCTTAACTGAGCCATATATATATTTTTTTAACGTTTATTTATTTTTGAGACAGAGAGAGACAGAGCATGAACGGGGGAGGGACAGAGAGAGAGGGAGACACAGAATCGGAAGCAGCCTCCAGGCTCCGAGCCGGCAGCCAGAGCCCGTCGCGGGGCTCGAACTCACGGACCGCGAGATCGTGACCTGAGCTGAAGTCGGACGCTTAACCGACTGAGCCGCCCGGGCGCCCCGTTAACTGAGCCATCTTTACGGTGCGTCTGTGATCAGGTTTATTTTCATGCTACCAGATTCGTGTTTCTACCTCCTTCAAATGGGGCCCAGCTTAAAAAAATTTCCTAGCCCTTCGTTTGATTTTCGTGCCCTCAGTGGCTTCTCAAACATTTAGAAGCTTCACAAGGAGCGTCTAGAAGATCAGTTTCGTGAGTCCCCAGGGTATGTCTTTCCTGAGCCTTGATGTGTGACTCACACAATGAACGCCCTGTTGTGCCCTTTATCCCCTGCCCCTAATTTCGCCCAATACGTATTCACACAGTTGATCTTCTCCACAAACAAGGAATAGCTTTTCTTCCATAAAAGATACAAAGAGGTCTCAGACACGGTGTCCTCCCACGAGGATCGCATTCAGGAACTGCAAACCTCAGACTCCAGGAAAGGGTGGTGGGAGGCGGCGGATTGCCGGATCTCCCGCTGCGAGGTCCTGGCCAGCGGCCCCCTCCGCATGCTGTCCCACTGCTCCTCGCCTCCGCTGGCCGAGCTGGGCACTGTGTGCCGGCACCCTCTTTCACCGATGAGGAGACCGCTCTGGAGTGGTTAGGAAACTCCCCCAAATCCGGATCTAACGCCAGGGACTCCTGTTCCTACGTCTCGCAGGAGAGCCTCTGCAGCCACGAGTGCTTTTGGTGTATGCTTGCGTGAGCCCCGCGAACATGACCCCCCGTTTCTCCCCTCTGCTTCCCGCCCCCTCCACCCAAGGTCACAAACTCAGAAAGTGCCCATTAAGGCAGACTTTTGCTTTAAGCTTGGGGAATTGGCCACAGGAAAAAAGAAAGAAGCTCCAGATGCTAATTAGCTTCGCTTTTTAACTACAGATGAGCCACTTTTTGAATTAACTGGTGGTGAGAGTCTCAGAGATGAATGGAAATATGTGAAGATGGCCGGGGAACAGGGGCCAGACGCTCCTGTAATTAGGCTCCCTGATCTGTGTGCCTGGAGAGTGAAACATCAGGGGAACAAAAAGCCACGGGGGGATTATGTGAATAACTGTGGAAACTGTCCTCCCTTTCCAGGAGGATTATTTTCCAGAGCCCTCCTGTTTTTCCTAAAAGAATTAAAACAAACACGTAGCTGGGTTTTTGTTTTTGTTTTTTTTTTTCCTGTTAGTTGCATCGTATTGTTTCTGACTGTAACATTCCTATTCCCGTCTCCACTCAGCATCTTATCTGATCACACCTAAAAATGCTGTAGGGCAGGAAAAATAAATTCCCCTCTACCCTTCTAGATTCTTGACTGAGCACCCCCACCCTCACCCCATGATAAAAAGATTAACAGGAGAAAAACAAATGTAATCACTAAAGTGTAGGAGCCCCGCAAAGACAGGAGATTCAAAGAAGCCGCCAGAGCTGGAATCTCTTCTCCTTGGACAAGAAACAATAAGTGTATGAAGGATTGACAAGACAAAGGGGTCTGGGTGGGGGTAGTAAACTAGTGAAGAAGTAACAAGGCTTGTTTATACGGACTTCTTGGCCCTAAATTCCCTGTCTGTGGTGATCAGGACGCCTTCTGCCCTTCTGGTGCAGGGAGGGGTACCTTTCAAATGTGAGGTGTAGCTTCTGCTTTCCGTGGGACAAAGGCGGTTCACAGTGTCCTTCATTCATTCACGGCTGTTTCTTGAATCCCCTTAATTGAAAATAATCAGGGGGCTCCTGGGTGGCTCAGTCGGTTGGGCGACCGACTCCGGCTCGGGTCATGATCTCGCGGTTCGTGGGTTCGATCCCCGCCTCGGGCTCTGTGCTGACAGCTCAGAGCCTGGAGCCTGCTTCGGATTCTGTGTCTCTTCCTCTCTCTGCCCCTCCCCTGCTCTCTCTCTCTCTCTCTCTCTCTCTCAAAAATAAATAAGCATTAAAAAAAAAATGTTTGATTCAAAATAATCAGTATGCCAAAGTGGCATATTTGGGGACAACATAGGCTAAACCCCTACAATGCTGAGTGCCAAATTTGAGTAGGAAGAGCCCCCCGGAATCCCAGGGAGGTTGGTGGGTGGGATATCGGTGGGCAGCTGGGGGAAGGGGACATTTTATCGCAGTGAGGTTACCTGGCAGCTGCAGGAGTGAAGGGTGGCTCAGGGAGCAAATAATCTTACGGAGCCTGTTGAGCCGAGCAAGGGTTCTCACGGGTGGGAACATAAGTTCATCTGGTTTCCTGCCTTGGGAACTTACACAGAGGGTCTCATCCTTTTCGCCTTAGCAAGCAGAAGGGCCGGCATCTAATCTCTCTGTTTACTCTGATTTCCTAAGAGTGGCGTGGTGAAACCAATTTATTTATTCACTAAACTAATTTCTTTATACCCTTGTCTGGATTCCAGAAAGGACCTAACATATCTGAGCCCTGAACGAGGAATCAGGACACTGTGGTTTTCCTTTCCTCTCTGCCAGTGACTGTGTGACGTTGAGCAAGTCACTGCCTCCCTCTGCATGTTTCCTGTCCCGTCCACGAGAGCAAACACTGAGCAATTACTGCCTGCACCGGGCACTGTGCTAGAGGCTTGTCTTGTATCTGTATTAATTCACTTCATTCTCTCCCAGACAAATCATTACGTTATGTATCTTTCTGGATTTGTTGGTGCGGTGCCGGTCCATCGTTGTAATATGGGCAGGATGAGTTTTTGTCGCTTTTGCTGTTTCAAAGAATGCTGGATTTTCCTCTGGCTCCTTAGGAACCAGTACCTGATGCCCCCAATTTGAAACCCAAGCTATGCCATTGGGTTCCATTGCTGATAGGACCTTGTCTTTGCATGCTGGGAAGAAAGGGAAGTCTGCAGGACTGGGCCCCTAGGGAGAAGGGCACCTCCCTGAAGATGGGGGAGAGGAACTACGGAAGCCTGTCTGCCCTTGGAAAATCTCCAGGCCTTGGCCCCCTCGGGTCATTATCTTTTCCTGGTTGGGGGTTGTTGGGGATACTACCTATTCCCAGCCAGGATGGCTGTCAGAGAACTCAGAGCAGTCAGCCCATCCAAGGTCGGTCTGTGACTTCTGGTGGCTTCTCATTCTGGTACTCCAACCCTCCCCGCCCCATCCCACCGCACCCCACCCGCTCGCTGCTCCCCCCTCCCCCAGGAGTCAAGGGCGGCCCTGCAGGAGGCCGCCCTCCTCCACCCAGACCTCCTTCAGACTGCCTCCTGCTGCTCAGCCCCCCTTCCCAGGCTGGAGGTGGGAGGAGGGAAGGGCAAAGTAGAAGCAACCAGCGGGCACAGCCCTGGGGTGGACCCGGTGGCCGGCTGGGCGGTCCCCATCCAGTGGCCCAGGCTCCGCCTTCGCCAGACGTGATCTGCCAAGGGCACCACCAGCGCATGGGTGGCTGGGGGAGGTTCGGTGTGTGGACACGATGGGTGTGAGTGTGTCTGGTCTCCGTGTCTACAGCGTGTGTCAGCTTACATTATTGAGTGTGTGGGCGTGTGTCTTTGTGAAAGTGCATCTGTGTGTGTCTTTGATCTCTGTGTCTGAGTGCGTGTGAGGGGGTATGTGACTTACTGTGTGTCAGTTTACATAATTGTGTCTGGTAAGTGAATGATGTGTATGGGAGTGTTTGTGAGTGCAAGTCTGTGACATTCGGGGCTGGGTTGCCTCCTCTGGCCCTGAGATGCTAGGGACAGGGACACCAACGTCATCGAGGGTTCGCCCCCCCCTCCCCCCCCGCAACTCGGCCGCCTGGCCCTCTCATCCCGGGTTTCTTCAAGATTCCCAGAGCTCAGGGCCCTTTTTCTCCTTTCTGTCCTAGCGTGCACTCGGCGAGCTGGGGCCCGAGGGAGGCTCAAGGGGCTCGGCTGAAACACTGGATGCAGTGGGAGACGACCACCAAAGAGTGGGCCTCAAGCCCCTTTCCTCCACCCCATGCCCTCCGCGTCCGCTGGGACACCCCTGGGTGATTCTGAGCCTCACACGCCCCTCCTGATGTTGAGCTCCGCGGTGGCAAAGCTTGAAGTCTCGTGTGGCCCCAAAAGCACATTCTGAGGGACGTGGAACATTGCAGGGCAAGAAGCGTAGCAGCCCGGTACCCAACCAAGCTGGTTCCGAAGCTCGCTCTGCCGCTGCGTGGGGACGTGTGTGCCCGTGAGGGCCTCCTTGCCCTCGGAGCTTTGTTTTTCTCCTTCACACCCCGAGGGGAAACAGCACCCCCCTCGCAGGGCGATGCGCGGATAAATCGGAGCGAAGTGCAGGGGGCGGTTACCGCGTTCCTGCACGAACGCCCTGCCAGCGCGCACACAGTTCATTGTAGTGAATGGATGTCCTAGGGAAGGTCCCTGGCAAACCCATGTAGCTCCCGAATCCGACACGTAAGGGGAACCCCGATGGAAAGGAAGGCCCAGCGGCCGGGGAACAGCCTGCACCCTGGATGGGAGCCCAGAGCCCGGGATGGCCGGCGAGGCGGGTGACCCCGGCTCCCGATCTGTGACGGAGGTGCGGTGCCCCGCCCGTTCTGGTGACTCCCGGGGAACCCCGGAGCGGAAAGCGGTCCGGCGGACCACCAGCCCTCTCTCTCTCCCTTTGCAAATGGCACTTTCTATCCTCTGGCTACCAGGCAGGAGCGGGGCCGGGGCCAGCGAGCGCACGCCGCCCGGGATCCCGCGGCGGCTGCCGGAGGGGGGGGGGGGGCTCCCGGCTCCAGGTGCACGCGCTACCCGCCCGGCCGGAGCAGCGGGGGGGTCCGGGGAGGATTTGCAGCGGCGTCCGCTCCGCTCCCCGCGGCCGCTGGCTCTCCGACACTCCGCCTGGCTGGGGCTGCCAGAATTTGCCGACGGTGCCCGCGGCGCTGCGGCCCCTGGCCCCGCCCCCGGCCGGCGCCCCG